CTGGGAACTCCACAACGACACTAGGGAAACTCCAGGAATCTCCGTTGTTATACACTCCCAATGACCTGTTTGTCACAGAAACAAACATTGGTTGATGCAGTTCCGAATAAACTTCTTAGTTTGTATAGAATATGGTCGATTATATATAATCCATTCACGGAGTTGTTTAAGTCTAGAGTTCATTGAACCTTGAAAAGACTGAATGGCCAGCACCTCTATTGCATCAGGATGAGGAGTACCAAAGCTAGAGGACCTGAGTATTCTGCAAACCGTACACATTGCTGCATCATGCTGGTCTTGAGGACAGGAAGGACGGATTCACAAAGTCTGGAATTGCTCGCCGATGTTTCATGAACAATCATAAAAGCAACGTTAGAGCCTCAGAATCTCCACGTTTCTCATCGTTTCTCCCTTTCCAAGACTAGTGCCTCAACACTGCCCTTCCAAGACTCCCGGCCGGCCACAATGTCGAAACCTGGCTTTGGATTGGAGTGGCCCCCGCCATGGCCTCCCCACACAAACAAAACGCTCTGAGCACATAACTCCTCCACCCACTCAGCCAGAAATGCATATGGTTCTCCTGGCCCATCCCAAATCTGCACCGAAGACTCACTTTCCATGCCGTTCCAGTGGGTCACTGGGGTGTCTACATTCATGCGTTGCTTTCAAGCATGCACTTTGGAAAGAACACGCTGGTGCCGATCAGCATCCAAACTTGGAGATAAAGCTGCAGCTCGAAATTGCTCTAGCAGCACTAGCATGTCTCCATCCGAACCATCTCCTGCTGGCATCTCTGTGCAATGTAGCTCCCAACACCCTGGCTCCAGGCCCTGGCCAAGTCTTCACAAGGAACCACGAATCGGAAACTCATTGATGAAACAAGATTGATGACATAAGTGTTTGCGTTGCAAGGTCAAGGCACTGAAGACGTTCTCACCAGCGGACAATGTCCCAAGCCCACCTCTTGCATCAAGAAGGCATTGGCATTGTTCCTGAAAACCAGCCTGAAACTCGTGCACAAAGAAAGTGTCTCCCAAGTAAGTACCTTTAAGCCTAAAATAAAAAAAACTTCCAAAAACAGTCCTTTGTCAGCTAGACATCATTGAGGCAAGCGCCAAACACGAGTTGCTGTTGGATCCTCAATTAATTGTGAGATCAAAAAGGCAACGGCTGCACTCTGTCAGACTCTGTCAGAGGCTCAGGACGTTCCGTCTGCAACAACAATGCAACGACAATGTCCAAAGCCGTGGTCTTGACCAAGCCCTGCGCCCAGTACTCGAAGAACCGTGGCATGGCATCAAAACCTACTGCAAGCGACGCTACGACGCGACGAGAGCTGTCAGCGTCGATAACAATAGCTTCAATAGCTGTTCATCAATGCAATGTCGACGCTTCTTTTGGTTGATACTAAGGTTACTAAGGTCACTGAGGCACAAGCAGCAAAAGCACGCCCTCACTGAGTGGCCATGAGAGATACACTCTCACGGTGTGCAAAAGAACATAAAAGTCGACAGTGTCTACACTAAGCTGTCAAATTGTGTTCTCGAGGGTGGGCTTGCTAAATTGCTGAAGCTTGATTCGGAGAAGGTGCATGCTCTTTGGGAATCGTGTCGAGTCAAATAGTGACTGGAGTGTTCTTTTGCGGAATTGTGCATGTTGGATTGCTTCTGGCTTGCAGCTACAAACTCCGGAAACTCCGAGCCAAAACACATGGAGACCTCGCGTAAGGCAACCTAATCCGATGCCTTCTTTAAGAAGAACATGCTGAAAAGTCAGCCGCTTGCTGCACATGCGCTGAAAGCGTGACTTGACCCAGCAAGTGCGAAGGCAGCATGTCAAAGCTTCGGAGATCTCTGGATGCTAGGACATGGATCGCATGAGGCTTCTCTTGATGAAAGGCAAGGTGCCAAAGTTCCCCTCAAGAAAAAAAACAATACCTTGGGAATCGTTTCACCTGTAGACCTGTAGTGACAAGAAGCCTTTTAGTATGTCGTTGAAGTTTCTTGGGAACAAACAGCTTTCTAAGTAACTAGAAGCTATTAGGGGCTCCTGGACTTACTACTAGGAGCAAGGACGCTACTAGGGGCTCCTGGCATCGCTACTAGGAGCAAGGACCCTACAAGAAGCTCCTGGCATCGCTACTAGGAGCAAGGACGCTACTAGAAGCTTTCTATAGTAATCGTTTCATCAGTTCCAAAGCTTGGCACATGTCCCATGTCGCCCCGGCCTTGAGACGATCCAACAGGAAGCGTTCAGCAGCAATGAGTAAATGAACTGCCAGGTCGGAGGAAATGTCTCCAACCTGGCAATGTCTCCAACTGCGTGGGTGAGAACGAGGTTGGCTGGGGTCTGTCCTTCATCCGTCAACACTGTTTGAAGGTCAGTATCAGGAGTATGAATGAGTCTATCGAATGCATTCTTGCAAGCAACCTTCCAACATTTGTGCATTCAGCTTACATTTATTCTCAGCCGAACCTGGTCAGTGTAGATGTACCTTGGGTTCTTTGCTTTGGCACTTTGGCATGCTCCGAAACTGCAAGCTCGTGGGGTAGACAAGCAAACGCTCACATCTTCTGGGCTTCGGACTCCAACAGCAAAAGAAACACGGGGTGCGCCAACTTAGATCCACATGAATGTAGTCAAAGCGGTAAAAGGACAAACATCTCAAAGGATAAATTAAAAATCCAAGGGTGTTCCAGCTCTGCATAAATCATCACATATCTGTTGCACACACGTTACGTCACAAGTCATGGGAATATCTCACAAGAAGAATAGTACTCTGGAGACTTGGAATGAGTTCTTGGAGGCAAAGCCTTTTTTGAGCCTTTTTGGAGCTAGGAATGTCACGTCTTGGAGCACGATTTGTTCTCCGGCATCAGACCTGCCCACGCAAACGAGACAGGACTCCAATAGGAACAAAATACAGCAAGTAAGTCACTGCAAGTAGCCCCATAGTTAAAGCTATTTAAAAAAAAAAAACATATTACATTATATTACAACACATCAATTATGGGATCGAAACAAAACCCACAACCTTAGCTAAGCTTCATAGCAGCATACCTTTATGTGTATATATAGAGAGAGAGTATGTGTCGTGCACCGTGGAATACTGCCTACACCACAATTTTAAGCAACCTTAGTGTCAACTGGATTGATCCCAACAAAATCCAGTTGATCTTGCATACTGGTAACACATGGTGAAACATTTACGGTTCGCCAGATTTCATCACTGTGTCTGCACCTTGAAATCTGAATTCAGCAACATGCCTAGTATCTTCCACTCCAATGGATCCTCCCATATCCTCTCCCACCTCACAGTCCCATCAGTCCCATCTCCATTCATCTCCTCTCCTCACTCTCCTCACTTCTGGGTCTCCCGGACGACTCGCGCATGCCACCATAGAAGAGCGCCCGGAAGTGCTCCGAGCGCGCTGCCAGGTGCGCACGCCTTGCAGGACTGGGAGATGGTACGCGGACATACATGGTGACACAGAATGTAATGGCGTAGCATTTGGTCATAAACATGTACTGAAGCTGGAAGATGTCTCTTGAAAACTAGGGCCGGTTGGATGGAGAACATTGCTCGCAGGAGGTTCGTGGGGTTTATGGGTTCTATGAAATTCTACGGATCCAAAGCATTGAAGTGCCGGCCAGGTTGTATTGATTGCTTGAGTGTCCTTTTGCCCAAATATGCCAGTATTCAGGCGCCAGGCTGCCGAAACAAATGGGCGAAAAAGATCGAAAAAGCAAGTGCACATTGATAGTGACAGGATAGTTCTAGGAGGCAACTAGTTAAATGAGTAATTACATGTGAAATCTGCTGCTGGTCTTGTCTGATACAAGTAGCATCTTTCAACCCAACACGGAAGCAAGTGAAACAGGCTTTAGTAAGTCTAATTTGTTTCAGTTAGCTCAGCTCTTTCAAAAAATGATACTTCTTCGCGGCCAATGAAACCCGCTTGGTTCCGGAAGTTTGAGGCAAGGACGTGGCGTAAACTGCTTGATTCTCTACGACGAATGTGACCTCAGTCCCAGGGCCATCTTCTTGAACCGTGTGAACCATCATCTTCCTCATGCCCATTCTCGCAAAATGTCGTCAATCCGTTTGAGCGTAGAATCGCAGCCTTCTCCCAACAACAAAGTTCCTTCGATCTGTTTGGTCCGGGAGCCCCCTGCGTCCGCGAACGACGGATTGTTGATCAATTTGCGGAGGTCGTCCACCAGGTTGCTTGGCCTGAATGAGCCCCAAACATGTTGCGCCCCAAAACAGTACAGTACAGCAAGACTATGCAACACAGCGGTGACTTTTGCGTTCGTTCTCTAGGCAATGCATTATCCTTGACTCTGAGTGGAGAATGGTCATGGTCGGCACGCGTACACAAAATTGAAGAAATATTACTTACTATTACTATCCTAATAAACTGCATGGGCGTACTTGCAGCAGCTTTAGATGTTTCGGGCATGCCAGTGATTCGAGGTCCGTGCGGAACACTCACCGGCTCGAAGCGGAACTCGTAGAAGTCGTTTAAGACCTTACATTTGGCGAAATTGGGTAGTATCAAGTGCATCACTACTAGTAGCAATAGCCTTACTACTAGTAGCAAAAAGCTACTAGTAGCTCCTGGCATTACTACTAGGAACAAATAGCTACT